TATCTTTACGCAATATACAAGTCTATATATAATTGTAGTTTACGTAATAATATATGAATATTTATATTATATATAATATATCACAATGTACGTAATAATATAAATATTTTTCATAATATTATGACGTATTATTAACAATATTTTTCGCCATCTTATGTGATAATTCGACAAACATGTATTTTGTTACTTTTACTACTATTAAATTCATACTTTTTATTTCAGCCATATTTAATGATGATGTTAATACAACAAAAATACGTCTAAATATTTTTTTTACAAAATAAGTTAAAATTTTTAAGAAATTAGTTTTTTCCTACCATTATGCTTGGTTTCTGTAATATAGATTGATAAAAAATATACCAAAGACATTTATGGCATATTATTTTCTCTTCTTTCTGTTATTCATATTAGTCAATTATAATTAATAATATAATAAATACATATAATAATCTACGTATACTTTACACTACCGAAAGTAAGCTATATATGCATGTTCATTCAGATATACAATTAATTCAACAATTTATTAATCGAAAAAAGATCTTCGGTATATTTTTTTGTTTATAACTTGACAAGATATCGTTTTTTAATCAATCTATCTTGTCTATCGCGAGTGAGGTAATTTATGAAAAACTAATTTTGTAAATGTATTTTACAATAAAAATATTAACAGTGTGATTCTAACCTTCCAATTTTATAATTTAATACGGCATTAGGTAGACCAGAAGAGACCAAGTATTTCCAATTTAATAGAATATATTATATATTATTTGTTCTTTTCCATTTATATCACATCGCATTTAAATTGAAATTTTATATTATTTATATTTAATGTTAATTATTCATGTTAATTAAATTATTGATAATTATTCGTACTGTTCATACAACTGATAATTTTTCTATACCTCGTCAAGTTTCACACCATTATAACTTACGCTAGTCATTCTAACAATGAAATCTTCCATTATTAAATGTGTCGAATGATTATGGATGTTTTCTCTTGGAGTACTTGCTGGATATACGCATATCCATCAAAACCTGTGAGTCTTCCTGCGAATCCATTATTTCTCGCAATTAAACATATCTAACTCGAGATGTGATAAACCTAATCTATAAAGTATAGTATGATTCGATAAAATGGACATCTGAAAATCGTTAAGAAATCTAAATTTAAAAACGATATTATTTATATCAGATTATTATGTATTTGCAAATCTTTTAAATCTTTCGGCATTGTACGAAAATATATAACAAAGTAATATAAAAAAAATTATCAAAAAATATACTTACAATTACTCCTAACAATCTGTACGAGTCGTATAATTGTTACAAATTGTTATTATTTCTGGCTATTATTAATTGCTACGAGTCTGCAGGTTCGTTTCGATATTTTGTCGATTTTACGCAAAAAATAATCGTTCTTATCGGGATGAATGTTTCATTTGTGCCATTCGCATCATCTGTTTGTATTTATTCCGACGAATTCTCGAATCAATCAATAAAATTTTAATTCTCGGCACTTGCAATAATTTAACATTACAATCTAATGGATTTTGATATTGAGCTCTCAATACGTGGCCATATATGCACCATATGTTATTATCAATCCCAAACACATAGTTTGATACAACTTTTTCACAGATAACATGATTTTTTCTAATTCATAGTCATCAAAATCATTGTGAATACCCTTCTGCAGATATGACCAATATAGAAAGCATGCCGCGAGATATACGGCGAACGATGTCGAACTGTCAAAACCAGCGTTGATCGGTAATTGGGTAGCCAGGCGCACGCGAAAAGATTTTATATCGAGTTGTTCTTGATGAGCAATGTAAAAAAACAGGAAAAGAAATGTTTGCAAACTATATCTCTCCTCATATGCGCTCTATAAAGCGTTTAAGGTGATAAAATATTGCACATGCTTATGCAATACAATATCGTCTTCAATCAGAGGAAGAAAATTATCAGTAAAAAAGAAATTTAGAATTAATTCCAAAGATATTCAATGATAGATTGACATCGGGAAACTCAATCTTAATAATGTTTCTTGGATCATCAATTAATTCAACGAATTTAAGGGCAGTACGAAGATCTAGGTTGGTTGCCACATGTTTTCCACATCATCATGTATTCTCCACATAACATCATTTTACTTGGTGCGAAAACTTTAAATTTAATCATTTTTTTTACGAATAAAAATATCTACTCTTCAATAAGCTTCAATAGATTCAGTCACAAGTATTATCTTTTCCTATTGTTATCGAAATAACAAAAATTATCCTTCTTCTTTCAAGTTCTCAAAGAATAATATATATTATAATTAATTTAAAATTTTATATTTCAAATAAAAAAGAGAGCTTATTCTAATGTTTCTTACCCCAAAAAGAGCTTTTCTCGTGTTATATATCACTACGTGGTATCGTTCGCGGTATGTCTCGTGACTGATTTTATTTCAACAATAACAATATATTCAAGGCGCGAACTTCAATATCGATGTTAAAGTTTTTTAATGCTTTCATCAAAAGTCATTCAAACGTATATGTAATATATTTATATATATTTGTAAATAATCAGAAAATAATTAAATGTGTCATTTTTGATTAAAATTATCTCATTGGCATTGACATAATGTACGTGATATTTAAGCAATATTACAATATATGTACACAATATCTATTACAAAAAAAATTTACTTTAACTTTGTTAATCAATATAAATGATAAAGATAATCGAAAATGCAACACCTACATTATACAAACTACATGATTTAACTGTATTGTTAGTTCTTAATCATATAATTTTGACGTAAATGATAAATAGCGTTATGTTTGTTATTTTACAGATCGCATTTGTGCATACATAAAGCTTAATTCAACTCAATAATATGTATCACGGTACGGAGCAGGATGTAATTTTACCTCTTTCTATTTATTTTTTTAAAAATAGATAAATTTTCAATATAAAAACTGAAAATAGAAATGGAATAAAGGTGATTAATATTTTTTTCTTTATCTCTATTTATTGTACAATACTAATTTTCTTATAATAATACATAAAGTATTTTATGGCATAGCAAAATAGTCATTTTCCATATTATTGCAGAACGCATTATTATTAAAAATCGCAAAATCGAAATTTTCTATTCCTTTTTAATTCTTATATAATTAATAAATAATTCACATATTAATTATATATTTATAAATAATTTTTATATATTTATATATAATTATAATTATATTTATATATTATTATTTTTCTATAATTATATAAATTATATAATTATATTTTATATAATTTATAACACATGTATTTATAATTATATTTATATATATATATGTATAATTGTGATAATATATATTACATATAATTATTTAAATAATTACATATATATATAATATATATATATATATATAATTATAACTCATATATAATGATAAATTATGATTTTAAATATATTAAAAAATTTATAAATTATAAATTTATAATAAGTTATAAATAATTCATATATTTATTCGAACTTTATCACTATTGCGATTTCTGTTGTTTTACTAAATCCGTGTTAAGTAATAAATATAAAGAGTAAAATATAAAAGTCGTAAAGAGAAGTTTATAGTAAGAATAGATAATTTCATTTAACAATTTATTAAAAGCTTCTTGTTGTCATTTTATGAGCTTATTAGCTCTTTTCATATGTCATTTTATTGGACAGTGATAAATATATCGAAATGGTCTCTTTTATTATTATGGATTAATAATATAATAAATATATGTATAACCAATCTATATGTGTCTAAAATTAAATCATATATAATAATTGATCATAAATATAAAATGTATTTCATAATTTGCTTTCACGAACTACATAACATTGTTATTTGTTAAAAAATGAAAAATGAGTCGAAAACCTTAAACTACACAGCAGAGAAAATATAGTCACGCGCATTATTAACCGTACAGCTATGAACATTATCCGCTTAAAAAACAATATCAAATGAATTTTATTTCATGAATTCTATTTTACTAATTCTTTATAATCATTACGAAAAAAATAATTTAGTACTAATTTAGTACTAATCTAGTACTAATTGACCCATTTTTTATTCAGTAATAGCATTATGTAATTTATAAACTTGAATTATGAATCCTATGTATATCTATTAATTTGCGAACTGAAAAAGACTGCGGTATGTTTTATCGCCTCGCATTATATCTTGGCAACATCTTTGTTCAATTTGCACTTTCGAAATAAAGGGATAGCATACGAAAGAAGAAAACTAATATCGACGTATTCGACATATTTTAGAATATTCAATTAGTCCTCATTTTGAACTTCGTAATTTAATATGGTGTCAATCACAAACAACAAACTTTAAATAAAAGAATATGTTAAACAAAAGTGCATGTTGTTCTTTGAAACAGTACTTGAATTAGTAATTGCACCACAATTTGATTACATTTATTGTTAGCTATTGTTATTATTTATTATTATATTAATATAAAATCAATAAATTTAATATTAATCCTCAATTCTTATTCCGTCACAACTTATGCTAGTTACCGTAACAAGAAAAATTTGGACTCTCAGGTGTGCGGAAATATTACCAATTTCTTCTTCTGAATACCCGGTGTAGCAAAATATATGCAAAATTTCCTTCACCAATACCTGTAAGTTTTCCCACGTAACCATAAACATATGCATATCGGAAAATATCATTCAATTTTTCATTCGACAAATTTAACTCAGATAGCACATGTGATTCATATTGAATGTAATTCTATAAAGTGTTAAAAAAATATAAATTAAAAAAACAATACTGCATTTGTATCGGATAATTATATTTGCACATCTTTAGATGATATTACACAAAAAACATTATATAACGAAGTAATATTATTGCTTGTAGAGAAGTGAAAATAATATACCTGTAATGGTATCGAACTGATCATGTAATTGTTAACATTGTTGAAATATTATTTGAATTTTCCATCTATTGTATTCAAATGGCGATCGAACAATCTCGGGATAAAAACGTTTTTAATTGTGCCACATACTCTATTTGTTGGTACTTATTCTGGGCAACAGTCGAATCGATCAAAAGAATTCTCTTTTCTGGCGTTAATAAAGAGCATCTATTGTAAGCTAAGTAGCAATTAAGCAATTGACATCTTATAGCCATGTTACTGTTTAAACATACAGCAATGTCCGTCAGATACATAGCGTTACATATAGGTTTCCTGCATTGCATGGCAGATGTCCCAATCAGTACTAATTCATCAAAACTAAATTCATTATGATCACCTCTCTGTAGACGCGACCAATGTAGAAAGCATGCCGCGACACATACCGCGAACGATGCCGTGCTGCCAAGACCAGCGTGCATCGGTATTTTCGTCTTCACGTGTACGCAAAAAGGTCTTATATCGAGTTGCTCTCGATGAACGATAAAAAAAAGCGAGTAAAAAAACATTTGTAAACTAAATCTTTGCTCATATGTACTCCACATACCGTTGACGGTAATAAAGTATTGCACATATTTAAACAAGCGGACACTATTCGTGCCAAGAATATCATAACTATGGAGGAAATTTTTAACTAATTCCAAAGGTAAATTCAATGATAAACCAACATCAGGGAATTCTATCTTACAAATGTCTCTTAATAATTTATATTTAATTAATTCGGCGAATTTAAGCGTAGTACGATGATTTAAATTGGTCATCACAAAGTTTTTTCCATATTTCGCCGCATACTCTCCGCTTAAGAAAATTCTACCCGGTGCGGAAATCTTAAATTCAATCATCCTTTTTATGAATAAGAATATTTGCTTTTTCAAAGAAATGGAAGTTGCAAACAGTATCGTTCAACAGTAGAGCGCAGAAAAATAAATTTGCGTGCCTTCTATTTATTAAAACCATGCAAAATGTATTTGCTACGTAATATATTCATACGTATTCATGTGACGAAGATATGATATATTTGTCGCTCCTTATCACTATGCACAAATGTATAATATGAGTTATGAGTTATAATATGAGATTTGTAACAAAAAGAAATTCGTCGTCAATACTTATTATCAAATTGATATACTTACAAAGGGAATATATTTAATCAAATTCTCGATTTCCTGCTCTTCCTTTATCAGCAGATTAATCGTAATTGGTTTCTTCTTTCAAGGTTTTACATGTAAATCGAAATGATACATATTCATCTATTGAATTCCTTATCATGGACCAAATAAAATAGTTACTGACAATAAAAATTTGAAACGTTCGTTCTCGCGCAAGACAACGTTTATATTTCTTGTTGTATACGTTTCGATCGTTTTTGATTTTTCCTAAATATAATAACAATGCCTCGAAATCATAATTCTAAATATGAACTTCAATGTCAAATTTTCTCAATATTTTCATAAGAATTATTAAAACAGACATAATTATAAAAATAATACATTACTTTCAATGTTATGAACAAATTGTCATTATCTCACTGTATTTAAAATAATATTTCATATATAGCAATTTTACAATATGCACGAGTTTTGCATATATACATGTAAATATGTTTAAGTACATGCATGTAATATTTTATACGGAAAAAATAAAAAAATATGTGTATATACACAATATATACACAAATACTGTTTATTGAATTATGTCATTTTAATGTGCTATTTTTATTGTTTTATATAGATTGCGTTGCATTAAATTTAATATAATTAATTAAATAAGATGTAATATTAACTTCAATCTCTCAAAAGATAATTCGAAATGGTTAGGTTTTTATTTATTTTTTTTTATTGACCCTTGTTACGAAATCTTACTCTCATAAAACTAAAGATAAAAACAAGAATGTGCAATACAGACCGTTTAAATGTTAATACATTGCACGTGTCTAAAAAACAGAATATAAACATCGACAACTAAATTAAAATTCTCGTCGGAAATGATGTTTGCAATCATTTGTAAAGATATGTCTAACGATATATGGTCATCAGAGAATTTTATCTTAATGATTCTTGATTCTAGAGATAGTTGACGGAATTTGAGCATGGTATAGAGATCTATACTGGACGCTACAATATGTTTATCACACCAATGCCAAAGGTTCTCCGTATAAAATGACTCTGCCTGGTGCTGACACTTCCTTTTCAATTTTTTAGCGTCGTCCATTTTTTCTTACGAATAAAAATCTCTTCTGTCTAAAAAGATTAATAAGTATTAAATAATAAGGCGTAAGAAATAAATCTGAGTATTTCATTTTTTATAGAGATTTATCTGAATTAACCCTCCGAGGTCACACTGGGTCAATGTGACGAACCTCAACTTTGCTCCTAAATATCTTGCGAGCAATTTGAAAGTGGCGGGCATGAAGCCTTCTAACTGTAGTTCATTTTTTCGTAAAATTCATTTTTTTTAAAAAAACAATTTTTTCGCGAATTTTTTTAATATGTTAATAATTCCTAAGGCAGTTGTTTTTTTTATAGCAATCGATTTAATAATGTCACAAGTGAATTCGAGAATTTTTCAAGAACGATCGGTGGATAAATGGTCAAATGGCGAATCAAAGTTCGTCTCGGGTCATATTGATCCAGAGTGACCTCCTTGTTTGAAAAAATAGGTGTGATCTCGGAGGTTAACATATTTATGTAACATGAAGAAAATCACCGAGACGAAATATTTGTCGCTCCTTTTGTTTTACATACATTAGAAATGCATCGGTTACACTGAGAAAAAAACCGGTGAAAAGGAACGGATATATCGATCACTTTAATCCGGCAAAAAAGAAAACCGATCAGATATCCAGATCAGGAAATATCAATCGATCGGATATCTGATATCAGAAAGTTCAAAATTCGAAGAATTTTCCGATTAGAATATCCGATAAAGTGATCGGTATAAGATTTGTTACCTTTCATCGGACAGTTTCTCTCATTTTTCTCACTGTATGTATGACAAAAATAATTTCCTTAGAATATTGAATTTTTATTCCGTAGAAAAGACACGCTTTCAACAATTTAATTAGATTTTTCGTTGTTTTCCATTGTGTTTTGGTAACAAATTATAGATTGTCTTTGCTTCTACATTTATATGCTTCAATTAGAAAATGAAGATTGATGTGTGTATGCTGTATGTGTGTGTGTATAATACATTATAATTTAACTATTAAAATTTTATAATTTTTTTTATGGGCAAGTGAAAAAAGAATTACGAAAGATTATTCGAAAATATTCGTTTTCCATATCAAATACTGTACTATATTTCGTGTTGTACTGGTACATTCTCATATCCTGATACAGACTGATTTGTCGTTTTAATAAACAATAAAACGCTACGAAATACGAGTAAGATCTAAATATGGCGCGATGTACAAATGTCAAACTTTTCAATAAGTTAATAAAACCGCACGAAATTGTATATTATTATAAGCATTATAATAATATAGATAATATTATAATATAAATAATAAGATATTATAATAATGGTTATTATAATAATGTTATTATATGTTATATAATGATTATATATTATAAATTAAGATAATATTAATATTATATTTTATAAACATTATTTTTAAAGATATGTTACAGTGCACTATGACAAACAAAATTTATGCATTATTTATTGCATTAATTGTATGTAATATTTATATATTGACGCTTTACAGTAAATGTACAAATGCATATGTATATGTGTGTGCGTTGTGTGTGTGTATATATACACAATAGCTATTTCCGATAAACATATTTTATGTAGCAGATGACAAAAAACAACAAAAAACGAAAAAGAAATTTGATATAGATCATTTATTAATTAATACCTGACATAAAAA